GAAATCAGAAGAACAGATCGAGCAGCTGGGAGAGAAGATAAATGAGGTGGCCCTCAACAATGCCTAGTTATGACTGCCCATAAAGACCCACTTCCCTCTCTCTGATTCCCAGCCCTGCTCCCTGTCCTCTCCCTATAAGAAAACCATTGCTTTCCCCAGACCCACCCTGCCAGTTTCTATTAAGAACTGGGATGGGAGCCATTCTCTAGAGAACTTTTGCCAGGGGCCATTAGAACATGCAGCAGCTTCTCTGGAGTGCTCCTTTGCCCTGCGTGAGCTGGGTAGGTCTTGGTTTGGTTAGGTACAAGGGGTTGTTTGCAGAGAATGGGGAATGGGCTTTGCAGGGATGCAGGCTCCCCATCTCTGCCTTGGAGCTACATAGAATGAACCTACTGGAGCCTGTACCAGTGTGAGGGCAGCCTCTTCATGGTCAGTATTTCTGATCTTGCTCTCTGTCCCCAGACTAGTGCCAGGTCAGGTTGCCAATCCACTGAGTGACTGTCAGGTTACCCGGTCCCTTAGAGGAAGCCTGATCTTTAAGCATCTGGGCTAGGTAGGGGTGCTGAAGTCATGGGAGGCATTCAGGAAGGAAGCCATTTGTTTTAAATTTAGGTTTGCCCCCTGCCACCATCTGGTAGGAGGATCCTACTTTATGCACTTGGCTGAGCTGAAAATAGGGGCATGAGCAGGCAGGAGTGTGTCAGAGGCATCTCTCCTCCAGCAGAATGAAGTGTAAGAGGTGAGAGATGACTGCAGCAGCAAGTCTCTGTGGGTACCTCTGTGCTGCAGTCTGGAAGGGTGGGTGCAGCATGTACTGACATACCCAATCTGGCTTTAGTCTAGGAAGCTCAGATACTGGTAGCAGTGAAGCTCCAGTGCCCTGTAGACTGTACAAGCCCAAGTGAGACTTACTCAGGTAGCTGGCTAACACTAAAGTCTACGGCATTGTGTCATCACTGATGTTAGTACCTGAGATAACTAGAGTAAAGCCAGCCAAGGTGGGCTGCGCTCACACCTCTGTGCATGGTGAAAACACCCCTGGGGTGGCAGTCCTGCTGGTCCATGCCAACACAGATGTCTGCTAGAGGGCAGAAGGCCTCTCCTCTCACCTCACTCCAGCTTGTCTGAGTAATTCACTGCCATGCTCATTAACATTTGTATTTAACATTCCCTAAGAACATGAGAGCATCCCAGAAGCCAGCACTATATACCCTCTCTCTTTATGGCCCAGTCAGTCCCAAGATAAGACTTGTGAGGGGCTGGATAAAGTCCAGTGAGCTGGAAGGGAGCTGGGCAGCCTAAAAAGAGGGGTGATCAAGAAAAGCACAACAGAGTGGGAGTGCAGGAGCACAGAGCCCAAACATAGAGGGAGACAGTTTGTGGAATAAGGGCTTATTTGGCCTGTGTCCCCCTTTGCATCAGAACAGCTACACATGAGAATTTACTTTACACCCCCTGTTCCATACACTTACGAGGGCCGGCCATAAGCACACAGGCCCCTGAGCTTCTAGGGGGCCTGGACACTCGGAGGATAACCTGATCTCCCGCCATGTACCTCCATCCTCAGTAAGAAGCCTACCTTCTGCTTGGGACCCTACAAATTATAAGTCAGAATCCTTTTTCCCACGTTTCACCCCAACTCTACTGGCTCCCTGAGAAAAAGACAGGGGCTCCCTTTGCTAGAGCAGTTATGTGCAATACGACTCTATGCTGGTTGGGAACACAGCCCACCTGGCTGACTTGCACACCCCCCTCACCTGCCTGACTGGAGCTCCAGCTGTAGAAGAGAAGAACCTGGAGACCAGGTAGAGACAAACCTATGCAGGGGCATTAAGAGTCAACTGGGAAGCAGATGATACGCTGTCTTAGCCGTGCAAATGGAACAGGTGGAAATGTCCAAGGCAAGAGCCTGCTGCTCACCACTACCAGCAAGCCAACTGTAGCAGGGAACCAAGATGGGTCATCTGCCAAAAGCAGCTGGATGACTTGCATGCAGTTTGCACAGTATGTTCTGGGATCCCCATGAGACACAGGAAAATGGCCAGTTCAAACCAAATGCAGAACAGATCACAGAGAGATGTAAGGAAGGGATTATTGCCTTGCCCGGTTCTAGCTTTTCTAGGATGCCTCTTGATGATCCAAGCAGCGTGAAGTGGGAAAGCACTGACTGTAATGGGGGTGCAGGTGGATTTCATGAAGGACAAATTCAGCCCATGCTGAGAACAAGTCCTGAAGCAGCAGCACTATTGCAGCTCCCTGGAAATGATGCGGCACTTCTTGTTCTTTGGTTCCGACGTCACAGACAAGCAGAGGAAAATAGTGATCGCATGTACTGGCCCACACTGCAGGGCTACATGGCCTAGACTGTATCACCTGGTCTGTGCCTGGCCTTGTCCATCCTTGGGGGCTATATGAAGGATACAACCTGGTGCATCAGTCCGTCCGCGCGAGTGGGAAGTGTGTCTGCTACTCGTGGGTAGGGAGTCAACGGATGAGACCTGCGCCCGCCTTGTCACTGTGGGGTGCTGCCCCCCCATCCCCTGCTCCTCTGTGTGGGGGCAGCAGTTTCGTGGCTGGGCCAGGCCACCCACGCTGGGACCAGGGCCCACAGGGGTGGCTACCACTGCTGAGGCTTTGGTGCAGGTGCAGGGGTCCGTGCAGCAGCCGGAACATGAGTGGGCACTGCACAACGGTCCCCCCATGTGGAGGTGCCTGGCATGCCCCCCTCTCCCCCCACCTGCCGTAACACTTAGGGCTGGCACAAGCCACAAACACCTTTACTCGGGGCGGAAGCAGCATGGTGCGGGGCTGGGCAGCACTGCAGGCCGGGCCCCTCAGGCTGGGGTGGGCCTGGGGGAGCGGAGAGTTGTGGTCCTGCCTTACTGCCCTGGAGCCACTACCCGGCGCCCCAGCAGGAAGCAGTATGGCGTTGTGCAGCTGTGCGTGTGCCCAGCAGCGCAGTCCACCCTGCCCTGCTCTGCCAGGGCACAGGGGAGCGGAGGCCTCTGGCGGGAAACAAGGGAGTGGAGCCAGCACCAGAGGGGCCCACGGGCTGCACAGGCCAATCTCAGAGCAGAGATCCTGGCCTTCTGGGATGGCGGCAAGAGGCGGGAGCTTGGCATGGCCTAGAGCATGGCGCTTAGCTTCTGCCCCGCAGAGCTGTGAGGCCAGTACTGCTTGGCCTCTGGCCTGCGGAGCTGTGAGGCCTGGCCTGCAGCTCCCAGGACTGCCCAGTCAGTGCTGCCGCCATGCCCTGCTGCCCAGTGCCCAGCCCTAGGGTCACAGGTACAGATGCCGAGCAGTGCAGGTACAGGCGCTGGGCAGTACCAAGGCTGATGGTGCCTGGGCTGAGCTGCAGACCTGGCAGGACGTGGGCTGTAGCTCGAGCCCACGGGTGGGTTGGCTGACAGCCTCAGCATTGCCAGGTCTTAAATATGAAATTATTATGAATTTTATTTATATTGCTGGCTGTGATTGCCAGTGAGTGAGAACTGGGTCATCGAAGTTTAAGCATTGCTTTATTTCAAGGCAAGTGGTTATAAGAAAGGGCCAACAGCAAACCCGAAAGTTGGCTAAGACTCTCTGAGAGTGACTTGGGTTTTGCATAGGCTGCATCAATTAGCTGCTTCAAAAATTATGGTACATTTTGAACACTTGTACTATTATTGATTGTACATTGTACAACAGTTGAAATTGTCCTACAACTATGACAATTAATGTACACCTGGCAACGCTGGGCAGGCCGGGCCTGTGCTCGTCGCCCAGCCCACAGGACAGGAGGCGAGCACCACTCCTCTGCAGGAGTCCGGGGGGGTTTGCCAGGGGCTACAGTGTCTCCAGGACAAGGGTCATGATTGTTGCAGAGGTTGGCAACTTTATAGCAAGTCAGCTACACCACCCACAGCTTAGTCTGAAAGCTGGCTGTGCCCTTACTGCCCCACGCTGCTGCAGTGCTGCCCACATCCCTTGCCTTCATTAGTCAGGCAGCAAAATGAGAAATCAGGAAATGCCAGAATTGTAGTTGCCTATAAATCTTCATTCAGCTCAACTGTGCCTGTATGTGACAGTCTTTAACCACATGCTCATGGGCTAGAAAATGTATCGTCTCCCAAGGTTACTTTCAAAAATAGCTGGATGGTTTGGGCTGCAACTGGGAAAAAAAAAAGGCCTCGCCAGAAATCTGGCATCGGAAATTTCAGCCCAAAGAGTCCTAAATGCTGAAAATAAGGCCTTCTAGCGGGAAGTAGCAGGTGGCATTGAGTCCAGGAGGTGCTAGTGCTGTGTGGGGTTGGTTGCCTTTAAAAAACAGGCGGTAGATTACGGATCTACTCTGCTGTTGCAACAGCACTGCCTAATGGGAGACCCGAGGTCACAGGGACAGCAACTGGGAAGAAGAAAACCTGTAACCTCTCAATAAAGCCGTTTCTGGAACCATTTCTTCAGGTGTCGTTGTGTAACTCCTGCAGCCTCCTGCCTTGGGACCCTTGGCCAAAAGGACGCGTGGCCGGTGACGTGTTGCCAGGCCTGGCGCCGCGGGCATGAGCCCAGCACGATGCCGGCTGGCATGTCTCCTGGAGGGCGGATCTGAGGCGCCTGTGTGGTTCCCCGGGGTGCCATGGGCCAGTGCCGCTGGAGCCGCTGGTGAAGGCAGGATTGGCGCGGACCTGCTGGCTGCCCCTGGGCAGTGCCCAGATCGGGGACATCGGGGGCTGCAGTCACCCCTCTCTCTGTCCAGTGAACAATTCCCACCCCGGCAACAGCAACAGCACCCCTGGTGCTTGCAGACCCCGCCGGAGTGGGCTGCTGCAGGGCGGCGGCCGCTTC